AGGAGAACAAGGCCAGTGTGTGAGTGCTACTCTTAGCCTTTTTATACAAATAACCATGTTATTGTGTATTCAAAGAAGAAAATACTTTGCTTTAGTGAATGATGTCAGAAGAATGTGGCTGTGTCCTCATGTACAGCATGTTGAAAACAAATTATTATTAGGCTGCAGTATTAATAGATGCTTGTGCATCTTTGTTGTGTTAAACTACACTACCGTACTACTGTAGTTAATTTGTACTGTACTACTACTGTAGTTCAGTTCACCTTTAGTTCATACTACAAGGCCAAACAGTTTTGTACACATGCAGTAAGCAGTGTGATGCAGTTAGCCAGAGAAATGGTGGAGATTTGGCCAAGCATGGGAACATTTGAAATACTGGCTTATATTGTGAGATATAGGGGCAACACACCGTCCAGTTATTAACATTTAGGATTTATTTTCTTTGTGTAATTTACAAAACCTTTGGGTGATAGTCATAATTTAGGTGTTATGTCAAATATAGCACCTGTTAATAATGTTGTCTAATTAATATAAGAAATGGAAAGGAACAAAAATGTGTAATCTCATCAATGCAACATGTTGACAGATGAGTTGTGTCTATAATTGTTTAAAGAAAAATGAATGTTTCCCTAAAACATATGGCAATTTGAGCTACACCCTACCAGCTGGGTGTTTACTTCTGACTCTGAATGGGGAACAACAGTATTCACATATTAAACAGGTCACTGTGCCATGGAAACGTCACCATCTGTGCTGGGGACTGGTGAAAACAACCATCCGTACTAAAGCATCATATGTTTGTTATGTCATCAAGGGTTATCTCAGATTGGGCTTTGGGACTACTTCTAGAAGGAAAGCACTACAGTGGTGAGTCAAGGAGTTTGGAAGATCTGGTTGTTTACCAGGCAGTGAGGCCTAATTCATATTGGAAACAAAAAATCAGGATATCACAAGCTGTGCTGCTTCGATTTGGAAGATTCTTTTTTGCAATGCAATATCCCTTTAAATATACCACATTATAGAACAAAGTGTTTGCATCTGGAGTAATTCCATAAAGATAGGATCAAATTCCTTTTCTGAATCTTGTGAACATTTGAACTTTTGAACAATTTAAATGAACTGAGCAGAATGTTATGACTCATAGAATGCATTAGATCTACTTTGAGTGTACATAAAGCTCAACGTTGGAGTGACCAATAGTCAAGTTATTCTGTGAGTGTGTATGTAACTGCAGCCAGTTCCGAAGCACTTCTTGCTCTCCATCTCATACTCACAAACATAATCCACCACCGTGGATTCAGACGGAGATGGCAGATGTGATATTTTCAAGGGGCCAATGTTGTTTGGAGGCTACCCAGTGGAGTCCATGTCATAATGAAGCAGTGCATCTGCGCCGAAGATGCCTGGGAGGGATCACAGGAGATCAAGGAGCCCCCCCCCTCCGTCAAAGAAGAACACCTTGCCCTTGACAGCCAGCTTGTGGGAGTCGGCTCACAGTGGCTGGGCAGAACAGCGGATAAATACCAAGCTCGGTTTAGCATACGCATGAGGGCTTTCTGCAAGTTTGCCCTTGTAAAGTATGTAGAAGGTATGTTTGTAAGGCGGTGAACATGACTAAGGAGGGGGTGGTGAGTGCGGAAGAGAGCCTGACACTCACCTCACAGGGGGCCAGGATGTCTCCGCTGGATCAGAATATAGAAAGAACTAAGTCATGAGTGCATGTACAGTATGTGTTTGTTCCCCAGCCTGAGGTGCTAACTCAAGAAAACTGCCAAAACATATTAAAGATGTACTGTAACTGAAAAGCAAACAGGCAACAGCTCTAGAAATGCCATAGCATGTGAGAAAGATGAACATGGAGCCTATGAACACTGATGCAAATTCATTCAAAAAGCAGTGAACTGCGCTGAAGCAAACTGTGTGCATATAGTTATGTCAAAATGAGGTATAAAATTAAACACTACAACACATTTTAGAATGGGGATTGGGGATGGGGATGAACATTAAACTTGACTAATACTTATACTAACACTCTATATATTTTTTCAGTTGTATCCATCCCACATAAGTCCTCAGATCCCATCAGCTTATCAAGTTCTCATGGCTATCATGTTAGCAAATAATAGTACCAACATCCACATCCAGCAAACACAGAGAAATATTTATCATTAATTTGAAGTCATGTTTGAATTTCAAGTCCACATCCTGATGGATGTTAGTCCAGTACTCGCTCTCTGTTTAGCTCTGGTTTTGTTACATGTCAGTCTTCTGTATTGTGCTGCGCAGTGGGCTGTAAAATCCCCGGCTGCATATGATTTGTTTATTTTTTTTAACTCATCCGACAAAGGGGTCTGCCTAAGTGATTTTTCAAAAGGTGTTCTCACTCTCACTAGTGCATTTGGGAAACTGTGCTAGTGACTGCTGTTGACATGGCAATATCACTGTGCTAATTCCCACAACTGATCTCAATGATTGACTTAGACTCCAGAAATGGACTTGTTATTTACTGCATGTATTTAAATCTTGGTATTAATGCCTCAAACTGTTGGACCAGTGGCAGGAGTTACAACACATTCTCATCCCAGGTTGTCAAATACTGACGCCGTTTTGTCACACCCCTCTGCGCCCCATATAGAAGCACCATTACTGCAGCAACAAGTCACCTTATGAAACATAAAAAGAAGAGCAACTTAACACCAAAATCCCTTTTTTCTGCTGAAGACCGATGTATATGGGTATAGATGATGTACCCCGGTCACCTGGGAGGAAGTCTTTCGTTTGCCACAGAATTATCAGTTAATGTTTTTCCTTAACATTTAACATTTCTTAACATTTCCTTTTTTTAAATTTTAGTTAAAGTGATTTTTGAGCTCCATTAAATGTTACCTGGCAATGATACAGGATGTAACAATATCATTAAAATTTAAAATAAAAACAGCATTTCTCTTTTTATTCCTGTTCAAACTCTCTCCTTTCATCAGATGATGGACAATGCACCTTTGTTTAGTGCTAATGTGTGGGAGTAGGGTCAGACACACACACACACACACACACACACACACACATTAGCTTAGCACAGGTCAGGCTGAAAGAGCAGGGAGAGGAACTGTAGCTAAAACAGATAACAATAGCTAAAATGACAGAGATAAACCCACATTTTGTTTTTCTCTGAAAGTAGAATGAAATGGTAACGCAGAAAGCGCTTTAACACCAGAGACTGTGTGGTTTACGTCCTGCGCCCCATGTGTTCAAGTTTTGAGTCGTCTGAACATAACCACAAAAGATTTTGCTGTAATCATGCTGTAGTTTTTTGCAGGTAAACAAATGAAATATATGGATGTGAACATTTCGAAAAAAATTTCTCTCACTAAATCCATTTCTATCACAACAGATTTTCACATGTAAATTACTTGTATAATAACTTTTAGAGAGGGTTGGAAAACTAATGAATCTGTAAGCATATTTTTTCCCACAACAATCTCTGTGCATTTTGAACTTAGAACATAACGCTGCTGTTATACACTTACAGAGGTCAATAGTATTTTATAGTGAAGTCAACATTCCTGACAAAATTGGCTTTAAAAAAAACATAATTAAAGAAAAAATAAATCTGGCAAGACGGAGCAAAGAACAGAGTATGTCCAGCCAAACACAGCTAATTAGAGCTGTGACAGGATAATTGGGCAGGATAAGAATAAACATAACGGGTCATTAAATGTTTAGGGATATGAGCTGCTTTTATTAAAGCAGACATGCTGAAAGCTGAACATGTTTGGTAGATTGTATTAACCTCATTCTGTATTAATCCTGATGCAGACATGTGGGTCAAACTTAATGTAGCTCTCTGGAAGCGCAAGTAATGCAAGAGAATATTAATTAATGTTATACAACTTTACTGCTGGCTCCATTCTCATGCTTTGGTTAAATGATACATGTTATGATATTTGTCATAAGCTTTGTCCTCCAACTATGGCTTGACAAAACTTTCCCAAATCGTAAATGATATGTCAAATGTCTGTCTAATTTTATAACTGCTTGCAAAATGAACCCGTGAAACTGACATAAATAAATGCCTCACTGGGATTGATTTCCATGTCATCTGATCACATCAAACTGCTTCAGATTATAATTAAACACACACTATATCAATCACATAAAGACACGACAGTGCTGAATGATTTTTCTCTTGCAGCACACAGTGTCTGCTTCCAGCTACTTTCTCCTCTGACAGCTATATATTAAACCCTTAGATGGTCTTTTATACAAGGTTTTCCTACACAGCACAGACTGTACTTTATATTCACTGCAGGAAGGTAATCTGGAATGTTAGCTGAAAGTATAGCTATGCACATTTTACTGTCAGACTGTGTTATCCTTTTGCATTAAATGTAAATATGAATAAAGTTGTCATTGTTTCAAAACAGTTTTCCACTGGACTTTTATTGTGAAGTTAAAGACGTTTTGTTATGGAAGCTTTCTTAGCTTTAAGGCCGCATTCATGCCATGTTGGCAAAATGGGAAAAATGGGAAAACCTCTTGTTTGTTATTGCGACTTGGGAGCATTCAGACATTATTTCAATATCATTAGCCACGTAGTTACACTGGAAAGCTAATTAAGCTTAAAACTGCCTACATTTTTAATTATGTTTCATTTTGTAGTGGAACAAACACTGACCCAGTGTTCAAGCATTGTCAGCCAAAACACTGAACAAACAAACCGACTACAAATAAAAACTACTTATGGGAAAGAAAGCCAAACAAAAACATCAGTTGAAGTTCATGTTGGTATCTCATTATTGCAAAATGAAGGAACATTCAACTGAAATTGGCTGCTTTAAGGACGGCTTTGAATGAAACATGCATATAATTGGCGGTTGAGACTTGGGTTATTTCCATGTCAGGGATGTTTTTCTCCAGTCAAAACAAAGTAAATTTACTCACCCAAAAAAGCATTTAAATATACAAGAAGATGCCTTAACTAGATGTTGTATAATACTCACGTCTCATGTCTCTGAAGTAAATTGTCTGTCTGTTGGGGTTGAGCAGCTGGATAACGGAGTCGTCATTGTTCTTCACCCGACAGCTGATGATCGCCATCTCGCCCTCCACCACCGACACATTGTCTGTCACCAGGTTCTGACTCACCACTGGACAGGACAAAGACAAGAACACAGATTACCACTGGTGCAACAAAGCTTAAAAAAACAAAAACCCAAGGCCATTACAATTCTGACAAACCAGTGTTTTTTTTGTTCGAAATACCCGTATTTAGTACACCATTATCTGTTCAACCAACTATATTATCTGTATTTGTATCTGTGGGCGGGACTAACCGAAAGTAAGCCTAAATTTAAGCCTGAAATTCCTATTGGTTGATCAGAAGTTGCTATATACATTTTTGGGGTTTTAAAAAAAATATAAAGTTGCTATATTTACAAGTATGGACATTGGCACAGTTTACTCTGATGATACTCATACTTATCTGTACCATACCCGCTCAACTCAATTGATTCCTACATAACACATAATTGCAATGATTTTCAGGTGTGTTCATGGTAACCAGGGGGGAGATGTGGCAACAGACATGATTAGCGCACATGGGATTAACAAGAAATGAGGGTGAGAATCTATCCAGCAAAGATTATCTATCCGTCTATCTCGATCAAATCAGGGCCACACAGAGAGACAACACAAAAGATTCAAGAGGGATGATGATTTCTACCTGGCCAAGTACAAAACCTTAATATAATTTGACAATTTTGTTAAATGACTGCACAGAAAAAACTAAATCGGTAGAACAGATAACAAGGTAGAACATCCAACTCAGAATCTTCAAAGAATGTTAATGATATTGATAGGACAGTGTTTCTCAACCTGTAGGTCGATGTCACCGAACGATTAATAGGGCGGGAAAGCAGTACAAAACATTCTTCTACTTGCTGCTTTTTCTTGTAAATTACTGGGTACCTGCTTAGGACATTAATATCGATTCAAATTATACAGGGAAAATGTGGTCATAAGCTGTAACAACTGTAACAATAGCTTGCAAACACCGTAGATGTTAGAATGCTCTAGGACACCTTTATGAAAAAGGATTAAAGTCGATGGATTCAATAAGCATTGTTTTGGCTTTAAAAGTGTTTTTTAAAAAGGGTTTTAGTTGGGTTTTTTTTAACCCACAATATAACGAACAAAGCCATTTAATGAGTGCAGCAGGTGGTGGATGAAAACCTCTTAATGTGTGTCCATGGGAATAAATAGCACTGAATGATCAGGAAAACTGCTCAACAAGCCTGTGGGCTGAGAAAAATTGGTCACAGCCGTCATCGGTCATCAGCTGCCCCTTGCTGCACTTACTTGTTTCACAAACAATATCTCTGCCTGAAGAGTGAAAAATGGATTCTTTATAGCTCTGTGCTACTTTGATTTGAAAAACTACAGTAATAACATATCAGACTTTGCTTTGGGGGTGCATCCATTGTTGGGGTTGATGGTAAGCCTTGAGTGGCTTTGGTTTATTTTAAATGATCACCACAAAACCATCGCTTGGCAGCTTGCCAGTGGTGGCTGCTAGTTATGTTGCTCCCCAGCGAAACATTTTTACAGTGAGGCACACAAGTGCAAACACACTCACACACTCTAGGCTACATGGAGCCCTAGACAAACACAAACAGGCAGTAAAAAATAAAATCAACAATTTAGGAAATCAGCTAACTATATTTGAAATGTTTATGCTACTCATGCCTCACTAGCAGAGGGATAGGATTGTATGATTCATCAGGCAAAACTAGAAAAAGGTGCTGTGAGTTATGCAAGAGCACACACAGTAGGCGTGTATTAATACGACTGTTCTGCCCAGCAGCTCAAAGACACACTCAGCAGAGACCCACCTCAGAAATTATAACAGACACAAAAGCAACCAATCACAAAAGCTGAATCATTCTGAACAAACATTAACAAACCTATTTCAGTGGCTTTTGGCTAGCTTTGAATTGTGCAAACTCCTGCACACTGCCCCTAATGCCAACACCAGACTACAAGACATTTGTGTGTTTCCAGATGGTCAGGTGATCACGGTCTGTGACTTGTCCGAGGCATGTCCGACTACATGTTGAGCCAATCCAACAGACCAACTGCTTGTGGATTTTCATGACCTGTGTGACGATCAATAATCAGACAGGAGGGGCTAGAGGCAGCCTTCTAGGATTATGTAGGTCTGCAAGCCTGTTATAGATGTGGTCAAACTACTGCAGGCAAGACAAGAGTCTCTGAGAGACACAGCACACAGTATTAAAAGACAGATTTGTTCCTGTCAGATCAGACATTTTCCAGCCTGATATTGTGTAATCTGAGACCGGCAGTGAGAACCCAGTCCCGGTCTTTGATGCTCTCAGTAGATGAACAGCCAGCCAATTCAGTCTCTGCTGCCCAAAGCTCCTTTTGATTAGCTTTAATTTGGAAAAGGATCACATTGCACCAGCATCCCACCTTATAAATATGACAGCTATTATAAACAGATGGTTCAATACGAGGCTACAACTTACTAATGTGGTCGGAGGTTCTTGTAAATTACTTTTACAATCATTTAATTCATACTTCCTGTTTGTATGTTGCTGTTGCTCTGTTATCAAGATGCAGGGGGAGTGTGGACTGCTGGAATACACAAGATCATACAAAGAGGCTGCCGTTTCCAAGCTTTCAATTGAGGGTGAGAGAAAACTTATGGATAAAGTCTTTGTAATTTCCCCTTATACTTTCCTCCTACATAGCTACGAAAATAGCATCACAAATAACATCTTCTCAGAGAGGCTAAAAGGACCGACTCAGGGGTGGAGAGGGGGGTGAGAAGCGAAAGAAACTAAAAGAACGCAGGAAACATCAACTGCTAATTTGCATGCCTCAGTTGTCAAGCACCTCTAAATATCGCTGCCATTTAGGAGACAAGGAGGATGAGGTGGGAAGAGAGAAATTGCATCCTCTGATGCTGACAGATAAGGATAGACAGCTCAACAAACGAGATTCAAATCAGCATCCCTTGGTGGCCCGAACACAGCCCTAAATAAATGAACCTCGCTGTCTTTAATATTCAAGACTGAACCTCATTTTTCAAACATGTGCAGAGGTGGGCGGTAGGGTGGGCATCTGGTTATGATAATATGCTAACATACTACAAAATGCATTTCAAGGCATCTGCTGAAGGTTACAAGGCAGCAGCAGGGTGCTGCAAGGTGTCTGCTAAGTTGTGTTTTAGGCCAGTGGAGGTAGTAGAAAGGACTTCAAACGGTGGCTGCCCTGTCAACTCCTTAATTGTTCCTGTTGTGCTAAATAAACAACTCTGACACGCTGGAAGATGGTACGTGGAGGCGGGGGGCTTTACACTAATTAATGGCCAACAACAACCATGTGCCGTGGCCACCTAGGACACTGTCAGAGGGGCTACAGAAAAAGCACTTCTGACATCTTGGTGGGGAAAGGCTGTTTAAAGCTGCAAGATGAAGCTTTTCTTAGTAGTTTTGGCATGAACGTCTAGAGGGGGAGGTGTGTCAGAGGGCCAACTTAAGAGAACCAAAGAAAAAAACCAAAGCTTGTAAGTAGAACAGTTTATTATCGGACAACCTTTCATGCTGCTGTCTATTGAACATGACCTGTGGCTGCCTTCACAAACACTTTTTGCCTAAAAAGACCATACCTTTGCATGTTTTAGTCCATTTAATACTAATCACGTGCATTTTTTGAAAACTATGCTGCTATGTTTTAGACATTTGAATGTGTTAATTTTATTTTATAATATATCACAAAACTTGCTTAAATTATGAGAAACAAACACAAGGAAACAATGAGATCTAGATTGGTAACAAGACAGAGGGGATGAGCGTGGGACAGAAAAGCTTGTGCAGATGATGTTCGGGGTGTGATGAGAATGGAATGGCACAGAGATAATAAATATTTCACAACATCTACATAGCAAACTGTCCCAACCATGATCATATGAATATAACGTCAGAATATTTCCTTGTGATCACAGAATAAATATTTCATGAACTGCACACGTCGCCTCTGTCACCTTTGTAAAATATGTGTTGATGTTTTTTGATGGCTGATGTGCTTCTGCAATACCTTTCAATGGAATGGAAGCTGCTTATAAGCCTTTTCATGAGAGACAGCTCATCGATATGTGTGGCAAGTGTTGGAGCATCAAGTTTACCAAGTGAGGGGCAGGAGGACAGCACTAACAATACACTTCCTTCAAACAAAACACTCACGTTGAAGCTTTTAGTGAGATACATTTAGTTACCGCTGACAGTCCTGCACCTCGGTGTGACAACAGTAGACGATAAACTCTCATAACTGAAATAGACATTATGATAATGGCACATCAGAGATGGTGGGAGTAATATATAATTGCTAGTCTGAGCTGCACTTAATGCATTCCCTCCAAATGTTTAAATCTATCACTTCATTTGCCTTTTTCCATCACAAATGAGTGTGTGCATTCACACACAAATGCAAAGGCACCATCACCATCCATTTGTCCACTGGACAGATGAGGAGACCGACTCAGTCTAACAGCTGACTCTGAGCAAACTGTTGAGGAAAGTAGAATCTCCAACATACAGTATGTCAAAACCAACCAGTCGGAGGCACCCGTTAGAAGCTCAGTGTCTTATTCAGCAAAGCTTTGAAGTGCAAATATTTCCAATCTCGCAAGAAATATACTGCCTGGAAAGTGGAAATAGTCAAATAATCTTTATCAATCTAGACCAGGAAAGTATCTGCTGAAAGAATAAATAACTGCTTTATTGGCCTTAAATTCTCAGGTTACAGTCAGACACCACAGCAACTGCTAGAAAATACTGTTTGGTTCTAGGATAGCCTAATGACTGGAGAGGTATTGTTCACTGAACATTGGTTTATTTTTTGTCAGATTTGTCACATCACCTAGTAATGCAACTGTTTGCAGGGACTGTTGCAGACTGTTAAAATAAATGCTTTCCTGAATTCTGCAACATTTCTGAGGCGACTGCTTAACCTTACACATGCAAACACTATTTCCATAATATCCATGTGTCTTTACTCTTTGTTTGCTGGATGTGAGTGTCTGACAGTATAAACAGAGAGGTAGTTGTGTGCACGTCCCATCTTTAGG